CAAGCCGAATTGTAGAAATGGCGTCCATGATTTCGTCCTCCGCCGTGGCCACCGTGAGCCGCACCGGCGCTCAGGCCAGCATGGTCGCCCCTTTCACCGGACTCAAGTCCACCGCCGCCTTCCCCGCCACCAGGAAGTCCGTCAACGACATTACTTCCATCACAAGCAACGGTGGCAGAGTCCAGTGCATGAAGGTTCGGCTCAACTTCACTTTAATTTCTTCCTTCCCTCCCTCTCTCTTTGTTTTATTGAACATAATTAGTTAATCAGATATGGTTGGGTGAAAAATTGGTGTAGGTGTGGCCACCACTGGGTTTGAAGAAGTACGAGACCCTCTCCTACCTTCCCCCATTGACGGAGGAGCAATTGGGCAAGGAGGTCGACTACCTGCTCCGCTCCGGATGGGTTCCTTGCCTCGAGTTCGAGTTGGAGGTTCGTTCTCCGGTCTTTCAAATACGAGTAGTATTATGTTATAATGTGCGTACTGAAACTTGGGTGTCGATATATGCAGCACGGTTTCGTGTACCGTGAGAACAATAGGTCTCCGGGATACTACGACGGAAGGTACTGGGTGATGTGGAAGCTGCCCATGTTCGGGTGCACCGACTCGTCGCAGGTGTTGAAGGAGCTTCAGGAGTGCGTCAAGGAGTACCCCCAGGCCTTCGTCCGCATCATCGGATTCGACAACAAGCGTCAGGTGCAGTGCATCTCCTTCATCGCCTACAAGCCCGAAGGCTACAACTAAAACTCGCCGACCTCCAATTTCTACGTACCTACGCCCACCAAAATGAAAGGGTCTTTTGGCATTGTTTTGACGAAGTGTTACATATGTGGATGCCAGGCCTTTTTGTCCACCTTTTGCGTTTTCTTATTCTTGTTGGGTTTTTTTCGAAATTTTCAATGTTTTCCCCGTGGCTGGATTCGGATGTTGAATCCAACGGATGAGAATTGTTCAAATAATAATAATAGTACTTTGCATATACTGTACTTTTGTGTTTAATCAGTTCACTTATGGAATCGGCTCTCCCCATCTTTCTTTCTTTTGATTGGTTGATGTTGTGTTGAATAAGGATGCTTGCTAGTTTGGATGAGGATGGTTGGTACTATTGCCAAATGAGTGGTTGTTGATGGTTACTAGTCGCTACTACTTCCACGTCCAACAAAAAACTACAGGATTTTCCCATATAGCTCATGGATATTGGGAATCCTGTGGTGCTGTTACAGTAATTGTCGAACTGGGCTGCTCACAAACCTGCACGGTTTTTACTTTTGGGTGTCCTCCCCAAAAGGCCTCATACTAATGAGCTTGGTGGACACTAATATACAAGGGTTTCTTCTCTTGTATTTCCGAGGTGGTACTTGGATTGTCCCATAACAATCCTCCCCTCAAGACAAGGACCACGAACTTCGTGCCCTCGTCTCAGGTATTATCTTGATCCGCCAGACACCTTGTATCGATGGGCTTCTCGCTACGAGGATTTTTCCATACGCGAAACTCTCTTTGATCCGCCAAACAAACGTGGATCTCTCCTAGATCCACCAGACAGACGCTAACTTTTTTTTGATTCGCCAAACCCAAATGTAGATCTCTCCTGGATCCACCAAACCATATGCAGATCTCAAATCTTGAGGTCACCGAATGAGAGTCCCACCAAACTGACGTCCACCGCCCCGAACCCAAACCAGACTCTGATACACTTGTCATAACCAGGGAGCTCAATTAATACGATATTGTCCGCTTTGGGCCAAACCCACACAGTTTTACTCTTGGGTGTCCTCCCCAAAAGGCCTCGTACTAATGAGCTTGGTGGACACTAATATACAAGGGTTCCTTCCCTTGTATTTTCGATATGGTACTTGGATTGTCCCACAACAGCAGTTGTGCCGTTACGTAGTCTGGCCGGTTCACTCAGGTTTGTTTGATTCAATGGGTTGATTAATTAATTAACGCTTTAAAAGAATAAGTTCAAAGTTACTATTTTATAGAGTCACATTATAAGGGGTGTTCTTTTTGTAATTAATCAAATCTTGAAGGAGTTATTGTGTCATTAAAGTTCTAATTAATTTACTTATTAATTACTAACTCTTTAAAAGAACAAGTTCGAAGTTACTATTTCATAGAGTCACATCATAAGGGGTGCTCTTTTTGTAATTAACCAAATCTTGAAGGAGTTATTTTTTCATAAGGTTCTAATTAATTTACTTATGACAGTTGAACCCAAATTGAACCAAATGAATGGGTATTCGACCCGGTTAGAGTGAGTTGAATATGTGTTGACGAATTTTGGGCTTCCCAAAGGTTGCCAAAACGTGATGTTGATGAATTTTGCATAATATTTTACATGTTTTCCTCATATACGAGATTGAGCTTGTGTGGATTATGTTGGGAGAGTTGAACCAGGTATTGGCGGGTTTTGCTTCGGGAACATTTTTACATGGAATTAAGTCAGGCGTGCACTTTGTTAAGCGGGGTGAACCGATGTGGACAAAATTGCGTTGGCAACATGTTTCACACGTTTTTGTAATTGTGGATTTTGTTGGACGAGTTAAACTAGGTTCTGATTAATTAACTTGTGACAATTGAATCCAAATTGAACCCAAATCAATGGGTATTCCACCTACTTCGACATGGTTAAAGCGAGTTGAACCCGGTGTTGAAGAATTTGGCTCAACAAGTTTTGCACGCTTAAATCGTTGAAGCTTGGAGGATTTTTTGTGCCATTAAGGTTCTAATTAATCATCTTATGACAATTGAACCCAAATCAATGGATATTCGACCTACGTCGGCCCGGTTATAGTGAGTTGAACTCGGTGTTGACAAATTTTGGCTCAACAACGAGTTTTGCACACTAAAATCATTTGGTATTTGACATATGGGTAAAATATGTGTAATTTAGTCCGAAACACTCCTGGTGATGGCCTTTCAGTGTTATTCTTTCGAATATTTTGGAATGTTATTGGTGATTAGGCTAACTCCAATGGAGCCGCCATTAATGGCGATAATCGCCATATGTGGGAAAGGGAATGACAATTCCCAGGAGAAACGGGGACCGGGCTGGCTGTTGTCCCCCACTAGACTTTTTTTCATATATTTTGTGGTTTAATTAGGGGTTTATTAATTAGGAATTTAATAATTAGGGATTTAATGGTTGTTTGAATTAATATTTTGTTTAACTTCTTTTTTCCTACTTTTCTAGTATTGATATCTTAAAAATATTTAAAAGTATATTTATTTGATAAAATGACATTAATTAAATCCATTATGTTTAAAATTTATGTTTATCATTTTCAAGTTGTCTGTAAACAAAAACTAGACCGATGTAAGAAGGAAAAATATATTATTAAAATGAAAATGTGTTCTTGAATTATAAAACAAATTGTCGCCAACTACAACTTTAATGGAATTACAAAGCATCCCAACACCGATACCAAGCAACAAAAATGATTAATTATTTTCATGCAAGTTCCAAGTATGCTCGACCAAATCCTGAAGAAGCCCATGATGTGTTGGTGCAGCACGAAGTCTATTATTCCTAGCCAAGTACTTAGTTGGAATATGTCTGTCGACATTAGTTGGTTGTTGGTCATGGACCTCATAATCAATAATATCTTCCATCTCATTGTCAGAATCAACATGTTCATCCTCGATTATCATGTTGTGCCAATATAATGCATGTCAATAATATATCATTAATTGTGGCAACATCCCAAGATCTCGCAGGGCCACGAACGATGAAAGTGAGTTGAAGGAGAGGCATGCTTCGAGGACTGAGTATGAGCGAAAAGGGATGGAATTCCAAGGGGAAAAAATCGAAGCGAGATGAAGAAAAGCGTGATCTTGAGAAAAGGGATATGGAAGAAAAGTGGGAACTTGAGAAAAGATAGTGGGACTTGTCGAAGTTGACACCAAGAAAGAGGAAGTATTGGAGAAATAAACACAACGTGCTTCTAGGGTATGATCAAGATGATCCCAACTCTGTTTCCAACTATTCATCCAACGCAAGTCGGACCGAAAGAGGAGATGAAAGTGGAGGAGGAGATGAAAGTGAAGGAAGAGATTACGGAAATTACTATTCTCTTATGCGCGATTATTGACATGTTATTTTTTTCATCTTTATCATTTCAAGTGTTGTGTGTAATCTTTAACATTTATCATTATCAAGTGTTGTGTGTAACCTCTGAGTTGTATCATTTCAACTACTATGTGAACTCCTTCACCTTTATCATTTCCAAGTGTTGTGTGTAAGGAAAAATGAGGCCAATCATTTTTTGCCAAAATAATTTTTAGTACCGGAATTTAAAATAAGTCTATTAAAAAAATTGTATTTAAAAATGATGAAGAACTATACAAAAATTAACTTGAACAAATTAGATTAAGATGATAATAAGTACATTTTTAATTAAAGAAAAACTAGAGGCCCCCAAATTTTGAGATGGTAGCATTGAAGTAAAAATGTTGAAATTGGAGACTAGCATTGGAGATGGCCTGAAATTGTGTCACGGGTGTTGGAGATTTTGGAGACTGGACTCATGAGTCATGAATCATGATATTGTGAAGATTTGAAAACAAAATTTTACAATTTTAAATCCATGAGCTACATGGGAAAGCCCTGTAGTTTTTTTGTTGGAAGTAGTAGCAAGTAGCAACCATCAACAACCACTCATTTGGCAATAGAACCAACCATCCCATCCCTTATCCAAACTAGCTTAGCACGAGTGCGAAGAAGATGGGGAGAAGCTAAGGCGATTCAATAAGTGAACAAATTAAACACAAACTATAGTAAATGCAAAGTACTACCATTATTATTTGAACATATCTCAACCGTTCGATTCAACATCCGAATCCAACCACGGGAAAACAGTGAAAATTTCTGGAAAAACAAAATAAAAACAACAAGAATAAGAAAGACGCAAAAGGGATTTTTAAAAAAAAAAAAACAAAGCCAAAAGACCCTTCATTTTGGTGGGCATGGTACGTAGGAATTGGAGGTCGACGAGTTTTAGTTGTATCCTTCGGGCTTGTAGGCGATGAAGGAGATGCACTGCACCTGACGCTTGTTGTCGAATCCGATGATGCGGACGAAGGCCTGGGGGTACTCCTTGACGCACTCCTGGAGCTCCTTCAGCACCTGCGACGAGTCGGTGCATCCGAACATGGGCAGCTTCCACATCACCCAGTACCTTCCGTCGTAGTACCCTGGCGACCTGTTGTTCTCACGGTACACGAAACCATGCTGCGTATACAGACACAACAAATTTCAGTACAACATAGTACTACTCGTACGGCTCATACTCCGAAAAAAAGACCGGAGAACGAACCTCCAACTCGAACTCGAGGCAAGGAACCCATCCGGAGCGGAGGAGGTAGTCGACCTCCTTGCCCAACTGCTCCTCCGTCAATGGGGGAAGGTAGGAGAGGGTCTCGTACTTCTTCAAACCCAGTGGTGGCCACACCTACACCAATTTTTCACCCAACCATATCTTTTAGTTATGTTCAATAAAACAAAGAGAGAGGGAGGGAAGATCGACATTAAAGTGAAATTGAGCCGAACCTTCATGCACTGGACTCTGCCACCGTTGCTTGTGATGGAAGTAATGTCGTTGACGGACTTCCTGGTGGCGGGGAAGGCGGCGGCGGACTTGAGTCCGGTGAAAGGGGCGACCATGCTGGCCTGAGCGCCGGTGCGGCTCACGGTGGCCACGGCGGAGGACGAAATCATGGACGCCATTTCTACAATTCGGCTTTGCTCTGCCTTCTGGGTTTCACTACTCAGTAAAGCTGCTTGCTTTTTTTCCCTTCTTCTTCTTCTCTGCCTCTCCCCCAAAACAGAGCAGCCCTTCTTATAGTGCTCTGACCCAATTCTCTTTTCCTACCATCCAACGGTTGCTGATTGGTGGAGGAGTCGATCTCACCGTCGGTTTGGATTGGGTTCACGACATTGTTAGCCCATTTCTGGCCACATGATGAGTGAAGGATTTGGCTTTTGTGTTTCGTTTTGAAAAAATGGAGAGCCTCATCGTTAATGGTTAAAGATGCACCACAATGGCAGTGCCACGTGGCGGGGAGCGCCCATTATCTTATCTCGTTCTCTATCTATAGGGTGAAAGAGGACAAAGGCTTCACAGCCAGGCCCAAATTGGGTGGATGCTTATGCTGAAATGGGTTTCTTTCGTCGGCTTGCTTTTGCATGGGCTGGAGCAGTCCATTGTGCCAGAATCCTGACTGAGTTCATCCTTTCGGCCCATATAGTTTTGTCTCATCATGCAACCCCTACTCCCTGTCTCTCCCACAATGTTCTACAGTTCACCCATACAAGAAAATTTGTAGGAAAGGATTTCAAGAAGGATCACACTTTCACGTTAAACTAAATCCTTCTAACTATTACTCAATCGTTGATTTTCAGTTTAAATTAAATTAATCTTATCATTTTGATGCGGTTTTTATCCAATGGATTGTCTTAAGTACAAAGAAAAATTGAACCAAGATTGAATTCGAACGGGCTCAGTCGTATTAAACTGATATTTAAATAAAAATATATTTATGCAATAATAAAATGACATTCCTGGTAGAAATGAAATCCAAGTCCCTTGATTGAAGGAAACCATCTATAGCAACTAGACTACACAAGAATCATGATATAATTTAATTAAAGTAGATAATAGATATCTAATTAGTATTAATTTTCACACAACCATAAGATATTCGTGCAATTACAAGTGACCAGCTTCTGTACAATTTTATATCGTGTAAGACTAATTAACCGTTAAACGTTAGACTTTTTTCTAATCCGAATGAACGTCCAATCTGATAGACGGAACGATATGTCAACGGGCTCTGGGTCTCTGTCTATCCAAAGCAACATCAATACAAACTATTTGAAGAACTAACCAGCTTCATATGGTCATGACTCTAATTGAATTCCTTTTTCTCGATTATACTTGTAATCTTTGGTAAGAAAACCAGTTGTAGCCGCCTGACTCAAGCATGTTGTAATACTTAGCAAGAGCTCCAGGAAATGCGATAGACAATTTGAACCTAGCTAAACTCATATAGACATATGAGTGGCAGGTGAAATTGAACTTAATGTTGACATATATGCATGCTTATTTTGGCATTATTTTTTTATGGGAAGCCCTGTTATGTATTACTTAAATCTCCAAAAATTGGGCTTTTTCAACCTCTAACAGACTCCTAATGGAGTTGGGTGGACAGTCAGTCCAAATACACATTTGATTTCCGTGAGAATTCATGTGGGCTAGACAGTGGGCCACTGAATTAGAACTTCTGGGCACAAAAGCCCACTCAACTTTCCTACCAGCAATTGTCGAGTTGACTTCCGCCAAACTTCTGATCTCCTTGCACCACACCCCCAGCTCAGTGTGATCCTCCTCGTCTTTCTCCGAAAGCTTTAGGCAATCAGATTCCACCACCAGAGGACTCCACCCCCTTCGATTTGCTTCTCTTAAACCAGCTATGAATTATGATAGCTCTTGCTTCTGCCTCCACTGGTCTGCAATTACCCGTCTCCTTCTCAGCTATTGCGCCCAGAAAATCACCATTCCAATTTCTGAAAACACATCCAATTCCAATCCCAGACGGCTTTAACACCCCGGCGTCACTGTTCATCTTGAAGATTTCGGTCGGAGGTGTCTTTCATCCCTGGACGTTGGCTTGTTTCGCGTTCGTAGCAGTGGTGCCCTGGGCTTGAAGGTAATTTTGGCATTAATTGAAAGAATTTATTATGCAATTCAATATTAATTAGAATCAAACAGAATGGTAATATATTGTGATGATTCGAAAACAAAACCTTATAAGTTTAGATTTTAAATTCATTATAGTTAGTAATCCAACTCCATAAATACATACATGATTACATAAGTAAAGGGTTGAAAGTTTGGTACCGATATTTGAGATTAATGTCGTATCGAAATTGTCGATATTTGATATTACTGAATACGTGTTTATTTCATGGAATTAGGATTGAATATCAATTATTATTTGGTATAGGGATACCATGATCGAGATAGGTATATGCTGAAATATCGATTAATACTGAAACATAAGCTATTGTGTATTTCATCCCTCCCAAATAGACTTTCTCACTCACTATTAGCATACCCACAATCGCCAACATGTTTCTTAATTGTATTTCATCCCTCTCAAATAGTCTAGTGGTAATACCACTAGTTAGAACCTGGAGATCAGGTTCAAATACCTTAGGTAGTACATCAACCACAAAAAAGTAAATTTATATCACCCTTATAAAAATATTATACATATTTCACTATTTGACAAATCATATCAAGTTCCTACTATTACTTGTAGAATGTTTATGGGTTGCTTAGTCGTCTCATGTTTCAGTTTGTATTTTTAGTTTGTTAATGTGCATTTTAGGTACCAGATTTTTCTAGTTTGTTGAAGGATTGAAAATACCGTATCGGAGGTCGTACCGGAAAAGTCAGAGATATGATATTTTATGCTAAAATCGTGATTTAAATGATTTAACCGCTAAATATCACCTACCAGTTTTGCTTTTTATATGAGGCTTTTCTGGTCGAACCGGCGGTAGGTACTTTTTTTAATCCTTGTTATTATACTTGTGTTTATTTCTCATTTATTTTGCACGAGTGTTGGCACATTGTTTGTTTTTATATATTTTGAGAATGATTTACAACGCTACTGTTATCAAATAATTTCGTTTGTGTATTTAATTTGTGATTTTGAAGGGAATTAATTAAGTTCTTATTTGGTATAAATGGATAGGTTGCTAACACCTTTAAGTGTTAGCACCATACTAACACTTACTATAAGAGTATTATAGTTGTTTGTGCCACGTACGCCCTCCGCCTCGGATGGTTCTCGTGCTCCTCCCACTTCCTCAGCGCCTCGACTCCACGTCCGCTTCCTGCACATGAAGGCGCGCACCGAACCCTTTGGCAAGGGCTCGTTAGCACTCCGACGCCCAAGTTAGAACGAACTTTCTAGAGAGAGAAGTGAGATGCAAGTTTTAGAGAGAAGTTGGAACCTGAGTAAATGAGCTCCACCCACTTCACTATTTATACTCGGGGTAGGGTCGACCAGTGCCCCCCGAATCCGCCCCACGTTATCACCTCATTAAATGCACTGTACCTTTCTCCTCACAGGCGCCCCGACATTCTGACACCGATCTGCGTTCCGGAGGCGCACGGCCCCACCCCTTGTCTCCTCCGTACGCTTCTGACCGTTGCCCCCCTTTTGTCGTCATGCGCCCTACCTTAGACCTGGTCCCACCGCCTGAGCCATGGCCTCTAGCCCTCTCTTGGGCCGGGTCTCCCCCTTGCCAGGCCCACACTCCCGGCCCACGGCGACACCTTGGCCCCTTACTTGGGCCCTTCCTTGTATGCCCCCAACAATAGTAATTATCTCTTCCTCTTCCCTTCTCCTCCCCCTTCTATTGTCGTTTCTTTTCTATGTTTCATTTATGTTTTGATACCTGAACTTAATAAATATTAATATTTAGTGCCTAAAATTAATTTTTTTATATTCGAGTCTGAAAAATATCGATATAAAATTATATTTTAGTACCTGAAATTTATATCTTACAAATTGGTACATGAACTTTTAAAAATTTACAAACAGGTCCACTACTAAGAAACTTCTGGCCTACTATGAGGAGGTTTTGACCTACTTTGATGAGTTTCTGGTCTACTTTGAAAAAATTCTGGCATGCTTTGAGGTTCTGACTTACTTTGTGTAGGTTGTGCCCTTCTTTGAAGTTCTGATATACTTTGAGGAGGTTCTGACTTACTTTGAAGAGTTTCTGGCCTACTTTGATGGTCCATTGGTCTCCCTCCCTTCCTCACATTTAATGCAAAAAGGACGGTTGGTCCCTCCTCCACTTCCCCAAATTTTCATAATACCAAGTGTGTCCCTCCTTTCCCTTCCCCTCATCAATGTGGTCAACTCATTTAAATGGAAAAGTCATACAAACAAAATGTGCATATTGGCTGGAGCTAGTAGCATCATACTAACAAAAAAAAGTGTTAGCATGTTAGTCTTTCCCTATTTAGTATATACTAGTATAAAAAAAATTGGGATTAAAATTGAGATACCAACTTTATTTTGTGAAATTAAAATTGAATTTATAATAATATTTAATATTCAAAATGTTGTTATTTGTTATTGATATACAAATATCATACTAATTTTCACCTTATAGATGTTGGTTTTGAAAGTAATAGCAACCATCAATAACCACTCATTTGGCGATACTACCAAGCATCCTTATCCAGACTACCAAGCATCCATATTTTACACAACATCAACCAATCAAAAGAAAGAAAGATGGGAAGAAGCTAAGCCGATTCAATGAGTAAACATATTAAACACAAACTATAGTATATGCAAATTTTACACAACCACCAAACAAAAGAAAGAAAGATGGGGAGAAGCTAAGCCGATTCAATAAGTGAGCATATTTTAAACACAAACTATAGTATAGCAAAATATTATTATATTATTATACCTGTAACAGGAGGCTTTGTTATTTTTTTACAGAAACCTGTTACAAGATACTACTAGAAGAGGGGGAAAATAAGCATCTTCTATTGGATTCGAACCTGAGAACTACAAACTGAAAATCAGCGGCACGGCCACTTGACCACGACCTATTTCCCATAAGTACTATTATTATGGTGGTACGTAGGAATTGGAGGGTCAACGAGTTTTAGTTGTATCCTTTCGGCTTGTAGGCGATGAAGGAGATGCACTGTACTTGGCGCTTGTTATCGAATCCGATGATGCGGACGAAGGCCTGGGGGTACTCCTTGATGCACTCCTGGAGCTCCTTCATCACCTGGGACGAGTCGGTGCACCCAAACATGGGAAGCTTCCACATCGTCCAGTACCTTCCGTCATAGTACCCCGGCGACCTGTGGTTCTCGCGGTACACAAAACCATGCTGCACGTATATATGTAGACGCACACACAAGCAGGAGTTTCAATACTCAACTCGTACTATAACATAATACTACTCGTAAAAAAAGACCGAAGAAAACGGACCTCCGTCTCGAACTCCAGGCAAGGAACCCATCCTGAGCGGAGCAGGTAGTCGACCTCCTTGGCCAACGACTCCTCCGACAATGGAGGAAGGTAGGAGAGGGTCTCGTACTTCTTCTTACCGATTGGTGGCCACACCTACGCCATATTTTACACAACCTAAGTTAGCTAAATTATGTTCAATCAAAAATAAAGAGATCTAAGTGGATGGAGGGAAGATCGATCGAAACCTTCATGCACTGGACTCTGCCACCGTTGCTTGCGATGGAAGTAATGTCGTTGGTGGACTTCCTGGTGGCGGGGAAGGCGGAGGTGGACTTGAGTCCGGTGAAAGGGGCGGCCATGCTGGCCTGAGCGCCGGTGCGGCGGCTCACGGTGGCCACGGCGGAGGAAGAAATCATGGAAGCCATTTCTCAAATTCGCCTTACGTACTCAGTGAAACTTTTTTTTTTTCTGCCTCGCCCACGAAAGAAAACTGCCCTTCTTATAGTGATGCGGCCCAGCTCCCTGATTGGTGGAGGAGTCAATCTCATCGTACGTTAGAATTGGGTTCACGACATTGGTTATTAGCCCATTTCTGACCACAGGATTTGGTTTGTTGTGTTTCGTTTTCGAAGTGGAGAAGCCATGGCCTTATCGTTAAGTTTAAGATTCACCACAATGATTGTGCCACGCGATGGGTGAGGCCAAAACCAAAATGGGTGGATGCTTTTGCTGAAATGAAACGGGCTTCTTAATTTCGTCGGCTTGCTTTTGCTTTTGCATGGTTAGTCTCAGTCTTCCAGAGAGTTCATCCTTACAAGAAAACTTGTGGGAAAGGATTCCAACAAAGGATCAGTGTTTCACGTTGAACTCTTAAACTAAATCATTCTAGTAATTATCACTCATTTCAAACCTAGGTCTATGAAAAGAATTGCATTTCCATGTTGAATTCCACCTTGAGTTCGTGCTAAGCCAATTGGGGCGTTGACTCTTAACATTGAACTACTATAATTGGGGCTACGGTGCTAATAATATGTGCAAATATTTGGCTACTACTTATACTAAGCAAAATTAGCACGGAAATTCAATTTTGAGTTCGTGCTAGGCCGGTTGATCCAAGGTGATCGAAATATCAGGGCGTATAATCAAACAGCTCCCAGTTTATAGGCTTAACTCGATGTGCTCACTATTTCTCTCGTTCCTGGAGCACCTTTGACTGAAGTCTTGAAGGAATACTCTCGGTCCATCGCTCTACAATTTCTTATGAAGATCCGTCGTGATGATGAGACAATCCATAGCTCTCTCCTTAATCGGACTGAGCTTATTATGGAGATCATGTTTTTCGGGATCTTTTGTGAGAAAAGATTCGCCTGCAAAACTTGGCCTCAAATCATCCCAACACACTAAATTTCTTTCCCGTTATGGTTCCTTCGGGGGTTGTTCTCAAGCCTATTATACAACAAAAACCCTCAAGGTGTTCGATGTCACCATTAAAGTGAGGTTGGTCAAAACTGCTCAACAAGCATAAATCCACCATAATTCATCGATCAAAAACTTAATAATGCGTATTAAATATTAATTTCGAAAATAAGGTTCTCCCTATCAATTCCAGGCCCACACACCTTATTTTCCTCCGATTTGGAGACGGTTCTTTAAATTTTGAATTCCCCCATAATGTACTCCTCGTTTGCAAGATTCTATAGACGAAAACAGTTTTTGGACATAAAAAGATCTCGTGTTATTATGAAATATGTATTTGCAAGCATATTGTTTCATCATTAACAATAGTGTCCCATGTGAGATTTATTTTTCTATAGAATTGGTTTCTAATTATGTATATCATACTCTCTTATATTTGACATTACATATGTTAATTATTGTCCTAAAAATTATATTAATTAAGCTTTTGCCATTTGCATACCTCTCTAGTCTCTACAAGCCTCCACGTCAGCCGAAGATTTCTACCACTTGGACCATAAGTGCATAACCAGTGAAATGTGGAAGTTTTACTTTGATATAATATAGCAAATGGATTCTCCCGAATGTGTAGATAAAAAGCGGGCCGCATTAAAGAAAAACGGGCCCGGCTGACTTTGCTTTTTAGGCTGTCTAGATACTGAAATTACTAATTTTGTTGGGCCAATCCACTTCAGCATCGAAAGCCCACTCGTGGGTTGAGATATAACGACCCAAGTGTCTTCAATTTCCTCTTCTAGCTTGTTCTTCGCTAATCCTAATTACATCAATATAATATAATCATCATATATACATGTATACTAGGTGGGCGTATATCTTATATGTTTTCTTAAACTGATCCATTATCATGATAATAATTCATCCCTCTTAATACGCCCTTGTAGGGGTGATGTTGATTCAAGAGTCGGATTCGACTCCAAATCGAGACGCGAACCGGGCTTCACTGAATTGAAAAAAACGGTAGAGCTCTCTAGTGCAATCGTACACCTAGGACGAAGGCTCGAAAGGAATCAACACGAGGCTGGCCACGATCAAGAATGGATGGCTTGATCGATACAGCAACGAGAGCCTAGAATGCACCCACCCGCGCTTAAACGGATTGACAATTTTTAACCCACCACCCACCCACTTTTAGTTTCGGGTTGGGTCGGGCGGATGGTGGATGATTTGGGTGGGTTTGTGGGTTCACCCACATCACAATGTATATAATATAAAGGAGTCAACTTGACATGATAATAGGCGAAAAGAGTTATCTGGGGAAACAAGAAAATGAAATAGGATGAAAAATGTCGAATAGTTCTTAAAATGGATAGAAATTCTATTATGAAAGAGTTTTCTACAGATTGAGATGATTATCAGATACAAGGAACTAAGAAAAATAATTCCACAAAGGAAAGAGCAGTGATCTAGGCACAAGAATTAGAGGAAAAAATAATGAGAAGAAGAGGGGATCGCTATTTGGAAGGTTGGCTTTGAGGTTCAAACTCCGGGAGCGGTCCTAGTATATGTCTAACGTCTCCACTCTCTCCTCTCTAGCGCCGACGACTTTGATCTTTTTGTTGTTGGGTTGAGCGGGTCACCCGCGCACCCACCCACAACCCACCCACCACCCGGTGGATGGCTCCCAGCGCAACCCATCACCCACCCATAGACCCACCCACTTAACAAAATTCGGGTCAAATGCGGGTGGGTCGGCCCAAACCCACGGATGATCCGCCCACATGCCCAGCCCTACTCCCAAACACAAGCAACAACTCGTGAACCAAACATGCAGTTTGTATTCAATTGACGTCAAAAGCTAACTATTACAATGAACCAATTCGACTTAAATAGACCTAGGACAAGCCTAACAACGATTAAAGAAGCAAATTACAGTTCTACTATGAAAAGGAATAAAAAACTAACACGAAAACAGGCTTAACACTAACACTAATCCGGGAAGGATTTGGATTCTGTTGCTGGCAAGATAGTTTCTCCTAGGCTTCAAGCGATCTTGCACCCTTTCGTTCAAAGCCCTCCATGGTCCAATTTGATCTGCCAATTCCTTGCCTTTGAAGTAGAAAACCTGTAGATTGATGTGGTATAAAGATTAGAACTCGATCATCACCCAGCCTCCTTGAAACAAGCTCCCAAGTTGCCTTCTCAAACACTCCCCAACACTTAGACAATTTCAGGCAGAAATCCAGTTCCATCATAGCGATTTGAGAGGCTCGAAACTTGACCCTCCTGGCTTGGTCACGAACACTCGAGCTTACCTGATTGTAGAGCAACATCCCATCTCTCACACAAACCCTTGAAACCCCATTTTCATTGATCTAGGAGTGGCGACCAAGCTTGTCAACTGGGTTACCTGAACACGTCAAAACACTTGGGCATAATTTCCGGCATTGGTTAGAATATAGAATGGCATCTTGATCATACACTTCTAATGTGAATATGGACCCGATTGGGATCATATCACCTCTCATATTCTTACAAAACAAATCCCTTTCATTTTCGAGTTGAGGATGGCATCACCAACCATATATTTTGGACCTCCTAAACTAAGTTGGGTATAATTTCAAGTTAGATAACTTATATGAATCTAGACTGTTAAAATGTATTAAAAATCAATTTAGATCATTGAGTTACAAAAAGAGTAGTAATCGACGCATGAGGTCATCACTTATTGACCTTTTACAACTGTTACGTAAAATACACACGTAAAGGTTATGGAACGTCAGTTGTTTCTTACGCATCAATTGAACCAGAAGCGTCACGTAAGACTTCCGTAATGGTTTAATACTTTACGTAACACAAGGTTAATTTTCATTGCGTAAAAGGGTCATCCATTACGTAAGGCTTCCGTAACGACACTTTACAACTGTTTATGTAAAATACACATCCATTACGTAAAGGTTACGGATTAATAGTTATTTCTTACGTAACAGTTAAATAAGTGGTGTTGAGTAGTACGTCTTTAATGACTTAGCACTTTACGTAACGCGAGGCTAATATTCATTACGTAAAAGGACCGTGCATTACGTAAAGCTTTCGTAATGACACTTTACAAATAATGACGCTTTACAATTCTAATGTAAAATACATGTACATTACGCAAAATGTTACGAAATGATAGTTATTTCTTACATAACAGTTAAATTGAAAGCATTGCATAAGGCTTCTGTAATGATTTAGCACTTAACGTAACAGGAGGTTACTATTTATTACGTAAGACCGTCCATTATGTATGACTTTCGTAATGATATTTTACAACTGTTATATAAAATAAACATATTAGATTATGTAATCATAACACAATACTTATTGTATTTTAGGTAATTCAACCCGTAAAACCTGCTATAAGATGTAAAAAATTCAAGATACCTAAAAACTCTAAACCATTCCCACTTTGTGTCCAGTACTCTGGAACCTGGTCAGGTAGCCTATCATTTTTCTTTTTTTAATCTTTTAGTTGACAGAATTTCACGGGATTTATTAATTTTGTACAAGCAAACATTCATATACTATTTGGGGGCGTAATCTTTGCCCACTGGGTAAATGAATTCCGTGGATGAGCAGAATATAGAAGAGGTTGAGGATAAGGATCCATAATTTAGCCCGTTGATTTTGATTATTAGGTAAAATATAGGATAACCCAAATGTGGCCCTACTTAATATTCAGAAATCCTTACAAACCATTTGTGAGTATGTACTGTACTCCCAATGTCCACGGTCGTCAGACCGAGCGCTGAATGATTCATAATCATTTGATGGATACGATAACACTTTATTTATGAAAATACTTTTACGTCCACTCGACGATTGCGAAACGCTCAACATATGATTCGACGTTCACGAGCGTTTTTGACACTTGCTCACAAATAGTAATGTAAGCATCATAGTTGGATTGGTGTTAACCACTATAAAACGAATTTCTCATTTGCAAATGGTACAATTATTATTCTCAAAAAGACAAGTTGGGATTAAATCCATTTTCGAGTAGTACTATATAATATTTGATTAGTTAAATGACAAATAAGGGAGCCAGGTTTTTTTGGTTGTTAAGTAAAACAACTAATTGCCGTGGCCGTGGTTTGGAGGTAACAGTAGTCGGTGGGGCCAATTTTGTTTACATTTTCTTGGAGTCCTTGTTTGTAGGTG